AGCCGGCCCGCGGCCGGCCGGGCGGCCAAGCCCCTGGCCCGGAGGGAGGGGGGTCCCAGGCGCTGCCGGGCCTCGCATCGCGCCCCTTCCCCCAGCAGCAAACCTGTCACCCCCCAAACCCCACGGGAGGGATGGTCCCCTGCCACCAGAGCTGTCTGCAGAGGCGGGGGGGGGGACGCTGTCCCTGTCCTTGCAGATGCACCTCAGGAGCCATCCTTCATCTCCTTGGTGGAGCCCCGGGGGGGGCGGCAGGCCGTCCTGCTCTGCACCGTCGACAGCTTCCCACCCTCCGACATCGTCCTGCACCGGGGTCCCGGCCACGCGCCGCTGGCCTCCACGCAGGGCCCGGCTGACCCGCGCTTCACCGTCCAGGGGGCCCCCAACTCCCTGCGGGTGGGGATGGGGGACCTGGAGCCGCGGGACGCGGGGCTTTACGTCTGCTCAGCCAACAACAGCTACGGCACAGCATCCTCGTCCCTGCGCCTGGATGTGGGAGGTGAGGGCGGCCCCGAGCCACGGCCACGATGAGCCCTGTGTCGGGGTCCTGGTGGGCCCTCCCGTGGGAGTGTGGCTTTCGGGAGCCTTTCGGGGGGGTCGTGGGGATGGTGTTGTCCTATGCAATCCCAACCCAGGGCACCCCCTGACTTCCCAGCCTCCCTCCTCCTCCTCAGGGGTCACAGTCACAGTTGAGCCCTCGCCAGAAGTCCCCGAAGGCACCACAGCCACCATGAACTGCTCGGCCATCCCTTGGGTGGGGGAAGAGGCCAACTACACCTGGTACAAGAACAGCCGGTGGCTGCGGGAGGGACCGGCCAGCTCCCTCGTCCTGGCCCCTGTCTCCAGCATCGACACCGGCTCCTACCGCTGCCGGGCGAGCGGGACGCGGGGCAGCGCTGCCTCGGCCCCGCTCAGCCTCAATGTGCTCTGTGAGTATCCCTTGACCCCGTGGGGACAGGCCACCGGGCAGGACGGGGCACAGAGCCCGTGCCACGGGCTGTGCTGGATGCATCCAGCCCAGCATCACGTGTCCCATCTGCGCGGTCCTGCTATGGCAAGGGGGCCTTCCTCCTCTTCTTCCTCCTCTCCCTGCCCTGCTCCTCTCCTTTTGGGACAGGGGAAAAGGACGTCGGGGTTTTCTCTAGCAGTGGCTGCAGATGCCCCTCGAAAGTCAGATTTGGAGTCAATGTGCTCCGAGCCGGGGGGATGCTCCAGCTGGGGTGGAGGAAGCGAAGGGCTGGAGAGGGTGTGAAACCGCCAGCCCCGGGCTGGATGGGCTGGAGCTGGTCCAGACTGGAGGAGGGATGCGTTAAGCAGCCCTTGGCGAGCGTCTGGGACAGCGTGGGAAGGGGGTCCCACACCATGGCCCACCGCCAGCCCCATCTCCCCCGCGCAGACCCCCCCCGGGACGTGTCCGTCAGCACCTTCTTGGAGAACCGCAGCGGGCGGGTGGGCATCGTGCTGTGCACGGCCGACAGCCACCCGGCTTCCACCATCGCCCTGTACCCTCCGAAAAAAACCCATCGCGGCTGGCCTCCAGTCTGGCCCCTGGCCCCACCTCCCACAACTCGCTCCGGGTGGAGCTTGGGGCTGTGGGGCCGGAGGACTCAGGGGAGTACACCTGCGTGGTCGGCAACCGCCTGGGCAACGCCACGGCCAGCGCCTACTTCGACATGCGCAGTGAGTGGGGCTGCCCCCCCCCGGGGGGTGCTGCGCCTGGGGCAGTGGGGCTCGGTGGGGAAGAGGGAATTGTGCCGGAAAGATGATTTCAGAGCAGCGGGGATGACCGGCAGAAGTGGGTTGAATCGGCCGTGAGTCTTCAGGTGGATGGGAAAAGAGGGCGGGTTTTACTTGAGAATTTGGAGTTTTCTTTCAAGGAGCTTTTCTCCCGAAGCACCCCAGGTTGGTTTTTATGAAAGGGCTAAAAAAAACCACGGAAACAGAAAATTGAGTTGAATGCTGCAGAATGATCAAAAAAGTGGGAAGGAATTGGCTTGGGTTCGACAAACGGCAAAACGGGATGATGCTGCTTGTCGCTGCGCCGGGTGACTCCCCCTGCCCTGCAGCCCCGGGTGCCGGCAGGGGACAGGACACCCGTCCAACATGGGGTGACACACAGAAACGTGCCAGCCTGCCCGACCCCTTAGCGCAGGGGACGGTGACGCAGGCAGGGGCAGCCAGGAGCAGCGGGTGTGCCTGCGTGGTCCCAGCGGGGTCCCAGTGCGGTGCCGTGCCACCCTGTGACCCCCCCTTGCAGCGTGTCCTCGACCCACCGACTGGCTGTCCCCAGCCCCGGGGACCTGGCAGTGGTGCCGAGGGGTGTCCCCCACCTGCAGCCGGCTGTCACAGCCACCTCCCTAGGGTCCCCTTCATCCCTCACGGGGCACCCCAAGGCCTGGGGGGTCCCCACATACACTGACCCCACACCAGGGCCATACAGTGGCTGCGGCCACGAAAGGGCCAGGGGGAGGCCACCCACCCCCCCGCAGGGCTCCCCTCCCCTCACCCCCCCCGCAGGGCTCCCTGAGCCCCCTGCGGTCTCGCCGAGCCGGCAGCCCCAGTGCTGGCGGGGATCTGCCCTGGCTCCCCTCTGCCCGCAGCTCTCACCCACCTCCTGGCCTTCACCATCCTGGCCGGGCTGCTCACGGCCGTGATCTGCGTGGCCGCCCTTGCCCTCCTGGCTGTGAAGCTGTGGCCCAGGTAACGACCCCAGCTGGGAC